GACTACATTATGTGTCACTTTGGCTATAGCATAGCCCAGTGGATGTATTCACACAGTGAGCATTCAACAATCAAAACTGTGTACCAGAGTACTTCCATGACACTTTCAATACTTCATCAAGTGCTTGGGAAACGTTCCAACAAAAAAGTACAAAATATAGTCAAATTCAACTATGTTTGTTCGATTTAAAGTAACCTAATATCAAAGGTTACAGATTTATGTCGGAGACAGTTTGTTGAGGACATTCTGCACGGGATAATAGTATAAAATGTATTCACCCACTGAGACAGCGACAGCGTCTATTTTGTTAATAGCAGATCGGATGTGCAGGATCGGTGAATGCACTCTGAGATTGGAAATTATTTATGTAAAATGCTGGGCGAATTCCAAAGAGTACCTATGGGAATTCTCGGAGAAATTTCGGTTTATAGAAAATCGAATTTCCAACAAGCTGGAAAATCGCCGTTGAATTTCCATAAATAATTTTCAAGGAAGTATAAATTTCTTTTTGATCGATTCTCCACCTTTATAGAAAATCGAATTTTCAGAACATCAACATTTCCTAGAAAGCTGGAAATTCATCGAGGAGTTTCTATAAACTAGAAAATTCTCCGCGATTTTTCGGTCGATTTTCTATAAACTCGAAATCAATTCCAGATTACAGTGTAGTCTAAATGCTTGAGGGAAAAAACAGATTCCTGTTTACTTTTCTGGTTCAGTATCCTTCATTATATTTGTTGGTAGCCATGCATTTGGATTCCCTCCACCAAACTGTGGTTGAATCATTGACACACGCGACGGATAAATACTTTGACGATTTGGATTTATATCGATAGGGTAACTGTTTCGTAAATGATTTAATGGAACTAAATTTGTGTTACCACTAGCTTGTGCCCATTGATTCTGTAAATAACCATCATCCATATTTCTTGTTGTCCTATTCGATTATATGTTTGTATATACTAAAAGAAAGTATATCCTTGCAAAGGACAACGAGTTTTATCGATTCTAGGTAAATAAACGAAATCTTACTTCTAGTCGTAGTGTCGCCTGCACAGCTTATATACTTGCTTTCTCGTATCGATACTAAGCGTTGGTTAATTAGTTGCTGGAGATGGCTCAGCTCTCTCACAGCTGATCAGTGACCCTGCTGAAAAACACCGTACTGACAGAAACGGTACGTTCCTTTTGATTACCGCACTTATAGATGAGGAATAACCCGCATGAACAGTAATGCTCTGAGTAATGTCTAGTTTTAGTTAGATCCGCTGACTCCTTTTCAGTTGGGTGTTTGAGTAACAACATTAAGGTTCGTATGCACGTTCATGAAGCGTATACAGTGAGAGAACCTCGCATCGTAGACGAACACAAAGGTCAAGCAGTATGAACACGTTCGGTATTGATCTGTACGCAATACTGTAAAATCTCGTTGAAAAACTGACGGTCTTGAAGCAAGTCATGACTGAACCCCCGATCTGTAATCTGAGGGGTTGAACTCAACACCTTGCTGTTGTTACATCAAACCAAGGTACATTTAAGGCCTGTAATCTTCAAGAACTAAAGAATACAGATATACGAATCTGGATTCTCCAGTCTCATAGTTGCGATAAACAGAACAAATCCATCAGACACATACACAAGCCCTCAAACACAGGACACAACAAATAATGGTTCCACTAACTCTGGAATTCGACCAGGATCTAGTTTTAAAGTGACGTAAACAGCTGAAAATGTATGAGTCTTTGCCTGTACACATATATAAAACATTGTTCATTGGGTTTATTTCTCTTTAAGTTGAATGTCAAAAGTGAAAAAAGATTTACATTACTTGTACGCTATTTGCGGTGGTACTGGAGTTGAAAGCGCTTTACACTTTGTCACTTTACAAATAAATGGAAATAGATTTGTGCTAGGTACATTACTTATTAATATTCGTTTACTCTGGCTTGTATAATTAATGTTTGTTTTCAATATTTGAAAACGAAACGCAAAAGCCTTATTGGATTTGTCTACTATGTAAGAGTGCTATAATGACTACACTTAAGCGGTAGATTAAAATAGTAATTATTCTTATTGTGTTATTGTTTCATTATTTATTTCTATTATTAATGTTTGTTTTACATATTTGAAAACGAAAGGAAAAATAGAAGCCTTATTGTATTTGTCTGATGTGTTTATGTGAAATGTCTTTTGTCTTCACCTTCTTATTTTCATGGAGCAGAGTAATTAACATAAATATCGAAACAATCATTATCCAGAAAGAAGCAATGGCAATTACAACATCAACAACATACTGTTAGTAGCTATAATACTTAACCGCAAGAGGGAAACAGCAGACTCCGGGACTCCAAGGGACTCCGCTGTTTCCTGGAGTACTGGAGTCCTTGCTATTATAAAAATCCATTCCAAAAATCCACACTTCTGGATTCCATTGGACTCCAGAAGTCTAGGAGTTAGTCACAATCCTGTTCTCGAAACAGAATAATCCTGTTCTTTTATTGGGAAACCGCCTGTACCGAACAATTGTGTTCTGTTCTGTGAATTTTTTTCCCGCAGACAGAACGTTTTTGTTCTCTTTGTGGGAACCCAGATTTCTGGGACAGTTCAGTTCATTAAAATTTCTTTAGTTTCCTTAAGGACTCCAAGGGACTCCATGAGTCTGGAGTCTGCCGTTTCCCCCTTGCTTAACCGTCATCTCTCTCTTCTTCGTCAATACGTGCTCTTTCTGCTTCCTCTGTACAACCTGTAATAAAAGAGACAACCTGTTAGTGTCTCTCTTTATTCGACACCATCTGGATAATTTAGATCTTTGTTGTCTGAAAACTAGAAAACATCTCTCAAACAATGTTCAGGGATTATGCTCACAGATAGATGCTTTCCAACATCTTGTTCGAAATATATACTCTGCCAGGTTGGATAATACTTTTGACAAAAATGACAACCGAACTGACAGAGTATTCATATACAAGAATGTTTTGTTCAGGGTATCTGACTTTCACTTTGACCAAGAAAATCGCTAAGGAGGTGGTGTGCTTACTTATGTGAGCAATCTGACACCACGACGTTTCTACTATGGACGATACTGCCACAATCGGAATTAATCTGATTTGGCCTGGATGGCGAGGATGTTTTCTTATTTAATAACCTGTTCTTCCAAAATTTGTTTGAAATCATAAGAAACATCGTGATCAGAAGTGGGTCACAAATTTTCTCTTTCTTAAGTCTTTTCTGATCTGGAGCTCTTTGGGTTTGCTTTTCCTCGCAATTCAGTTCGACTGATGCTGAAATTAAGCTGAACTTATGCTAAAGAACAAGGTGTGTACAAAGCAAAAATTTAAAACTTTTAAACTAATCAAAGTCAAGCGCGTGTGACCAATAGGTGCTAGATAAGAAGATATCTTCACCAT